ATTTATGACAACTGAGTTTTTTGGGAGGTTCTGCTTTTACGTGGACAAGGGAGTTCAGAAAAAAGCCTATTCTCAAGTTCCTTCAGCTTAAAATAATTGTTATGCTACAGCACCATATTCTGGACCCCTTCACAGCACTGTGCTGAATCATTCTCCTTGGCATCCAAACATTCTTTTATCTTAAACAACAACAAACTCTGTCTTAATCACATCCCTCTCCACCTACCACTCCATTTCTCAACTCCCCTTCACAGGAGCCAGAGGGATATTTTAAAAACAAAAATCAGATCCTGCCAGTGTCCTGATTAATTCACTCCAGGCTTCTTGTTGCACTTAGAATAAAATCCAAACTCCTTGCCCTCTGCTGCAAAGTTCTACATGATGTGATCTCTGCCTGCCTCTCTGCTCACGTTTAATCCCTCTCTCACCAGGACAACTATGTCTTCCATAGAAATTAAACATAGAACCTAATTTCTTTGAGACTTATGAACAGTGGAAATATACGATATCTCTTTGACACAAATGCATAAGAGACAAGGAACAAACCAAACAAGATTTACTAATTTTATAGAATTGGGAAAATCATTTGAAGATTGTGCCTTGAGTATATTAAATGCTATTTTAATGACATGATAGTGTTAATGCAGCTTCGTTGGGTAACCTAGGGATCTGATTTTCAGGGTCAGCCACTTGGTATTTGCAAGAGCCAAGTAACAGACCCGGAGCTGATTTTCAAACAGCAAGCAGCTCTCTGCCATGGAAAACACAGTCCTGCTCCAAAGGCCTAGGGGTTTTGCTCTGTGAATTCCACACAGCTTCCTTATCCACCATGGATAACCCTTGACCAATGGATCTGCAGGGCCATAAGGACCAAGAGGCAGCCTGCAGCACAGCCTGGACCTGACATTGAGTGCTCTGTTACTCTGGCAAGACTCAAACTGGTAGCATTCCAAGTTAAACCAGTAACGTGTCAAAAGAATATTCCCAACAGTTGTATTTGTGTATTTGCCACCCGCAAACTCCAAAGAAGCCATGACATATTGTCCCTCTTTCGTAGTAGTAGTGGTGGAGGGTATAAAGTGCAAACTTTACCTAGAATTTTACCACCACCTAGATTCTACAATTCATGTTTACTATGTCACACCCTTTAAGCATTTGTCCACTTATCTTTACATTTCACAAATCTACAGACATAAGACTAGCACATACTTATTCTCAGTATTTAATGGTAAAATTTAAACGTGTTGCAAGTACAATAAAACATAAAAATTATATACTCATGTACTACTTGAATGTGGATTCCTCAAAGTGATTACCAGTAATTTGTCTATTTCCCCAGATAGGCTAGCATATGTAAACAGGAGGGCACTTGTGCATGTGATGTCCTCCATATAAAATCTCTTGGAGTGAGAAGGGAGGGGACCAACCGGCAGGGTGCTGGGCCTCATGAATGAGCCCTAGTCTCTGCTTCAGCTGACCTTCAACCAGGACAGGAAAAGCTTGCTGGCATCAATGAGGAATCCTGCCTGGCATTTCCTTCAGAGGGAAAAATATTGAGGCCCATCTTCAAAATTGGTAGCCGACATTTGTATGGGACTGAATCTGGCTCAAGGAAGAATATGGCCTGGAGTTCCCTCACCCTACTAGAGGGACACTGCCATATTCTCTATATACTCCCAGCTCTTAATATGTAGAGTATGATTTTTCCATGTGCTACTATGGCACTTTTAACCCATCCCTTCTTTGGACATTAACATCCCACTTTGGACATTAAGTTTACTAGTAATCCCAGCCACAAAGCTACAAAGGGAATTCCAGCTTTCTGGAATGCTCCACACATAATCTCAATGAATATTCCAATGGTTGGGGACCATCGTACTACCAAAGGTTTGACTATTGCAACCTGTGTTGAGACTGTCTAGAGACTTGGCCGTTAAAGAGATTTTAAAAGGGCACAAAGATTCTTAAAGGGGAAGGGGGTCTCTTCAACAGGGAGAATTAAGCCTCTTTTAATTTATAATTTGCCCATTTAATTTGTATTTGCCTAGTGGTATAGCCATTTAGTGGCTAAATCAGTGGGCTAGCAGTCTGCTAAATCCCTTTAGCAAGCTATGGGTAAATACGGAATAGTTAACCATATTCAAATCACTTTTCTGTACCAGAAGGAACGTCCTTTTGGGAATGCTCCTGTTTTTAGGAACACAGCCCTCTTGTGTGTATACTCATGATGGCCTAAGTGCCCACTCTAAAAAGTTGTGCATTTTACACTCTTACCGGTATTTTGTGCTGACCTTTTCCCCTCCACCCCTGTTAACTTTAGGTGAAAGGGATCTGTCACTTTTGATAAATTCACATTAACTCTTAAAAATAAAGGTATTGCATTCAATATAGAAGATGCCCTGGGCCCGCCCGTGGCATATCGGTTAAGGGCGCACACTCCGTTGCTGGCGGCCTGGGTTCCGACACCTGGCGCCCACCGACACACTGCTTGTCAGGCCATGCTGTGGCGGCATCCCACATAAAGTGGAGGAAGATGGGCACAGATGTTAGCTCAGGGCCAGTCTTCCTCAGCAAAAAGAAGAGGATTGACATGGATGTTAGCTCAGGGTTGATCTTCCCCACATAAAAAATAAAAAATAATCATAAAAAAAAAAAAGATGCCCTACCCAAAGTATTAACAAATGAAAAGCACATATCCTTTAATAGACAGGAGAAATGGAAGGTGGAAAGATAGGGACGGGAACTTATACTTCTGGAGGTATGTCCGGATAGTTCTTATGTTACTCCTTGCAGCCCTGCTAGCATATGCTGTAGTTTTGACTTGATGTAAACCCTTGTTTCTAAGCTCTTTCTCTACCTATAAATATCAATGAGAGGTTATAAATGGAAACTTATGGAACTCACCAAAAAGAAAAAAATTACTGACTTAAAATGTGGAAACAAAATGCGTTTTGTTTTTCAACTAGCTGTTAAATAAGCTAACTTTGTTTCTTCCATATAACGCTAGGAGACTATCAATTAAAACTTTGGCAAATACTTATTTTCAACAGCAAAAGAACATTCTTTGAAATCTCTTTCACCTAACACATAGTAACATTTGCAACGATTATCCTTGAATAACTTCCTTGTCTAACAAAAAACCTGAGAGTCAACAAGACCTGTTTTGTTTTTGTTTTTTAAAGATTTTATTTATTTATTTATTTTCCTCCCAAAGCCCCAGTAGATAGTTGTACGTCATAGCTGCACATCCTTCTAGTTGCTGTATGTGGGACGCGGCCTCACAATGGACGGAGAAGCGGTGCATCGGGGCGCGCCCGGGATCCGAACCCGGGCCGCCAGCAGTGGAGCGCGCGCACTTAACCGCTAAGCCACGGGGCCGGCCCTGTTTTTTTTTTTTTTTTTAAATAAATGTTCTGTTAGAGGATGGTTTGTTGGGCTTTCTGAATGTCTGATCATGTCCAGTCCCATTCTGGAATACACTGCGTTGAGATTCCATTGACTGCACGGAGGACATGCTTGGCTCTTTGTACAAAAGACTCAGTTTGATTTTTGGTTCCTGCCTTGCTGATGCAAGCTACATTATAGATTTATTTATTATTCAGCTACAGATGAACTATGACCTGTGTAGACAGTTGTTACATGGACTGTTGCATACAGTATGGGTTAGGAAGACTCTTACCGAAACCTGTACAAGGGTTCCACTGTGGTAGTTCTATATCTCTTTGAATAGCACTGTAGCTCCATTAGTAGATTCCCTAAGGGAGGGAGGTGAGAGGGAAGAGAGAACTTGATTTACTGAACACTTACGTGTGCCATACATCCTGCTAGCAGGACTGCATAAGAGTTTTTTCTTTTTCTCCATTTTATGTCTAATTGACTCCTATTGTTCCTTCAGATCTGTCTCAAGTGGTACTTCCTAAGGGGAGCTTTGCCAGACTTGACCAAATCTCCCTATCATAAATTCTCAGAGCACCATGAATCTCCCTTCATAACATCGATAATAGTTGCAACTTGACATTTATTTGTGTGATTACTTTTACCAATATCTATCTCCCCAACTAGCCCGCAGACTCAAGAGGGCAGTGCTCCTGACTGATTCTGCTCATCTTTGTACTCACAGTACCAACTACAGTGCTTGCACACATCAGGTGTTCAACAAATATTTATGGAACAAATGCATGGTTAAGAATTGGAGCTTACAGTCATACAGCTCTAAATTTGAATCCTGGTGTGGTAGGCTGAATAATGACTCAAAGGGTATCCGGTCCTAAACCCCGGAACCTGTAAATGAAACCTAATTATGGAAAACGGGTCTTTGCAGATGTAGTCAAGGATTCTGAGATTGTGAGATGATCCTAGATTATACAGGCGAGCACTAAACGAAATCACAAGTGTCCTCATAAGAGAGAGTCAGAGAGAGAACTGATACAAACAGAAAAGGGGAAGGCAATATGACATTTGGAGTGCTGCAAAACGCTGCGACCACAAGCCACAGAACGACAGCAGCCACCAGAAGCTGGAAGAGGCAAAGAACGGATTTCTTCCTGAAACCACTTATTACTCAGATATGACTAAGAAGCACATGGTTCACACCTTCAGCTGCCAGTAATCCCTTCCTGGCGGAGAAACTAGGACAACGAACTTCTCTCACTTCCTTCTCTTTCCTCTTCCCCTTGCAGTTCCTTGTCTTCTTTTACTTCCTCCTTTCTCTTCTGTTTTCTCGAACTTTCGCCCCGCCTCGTCCCAAGTAAGCTCGCGCAAATTGAGAACTCGAAGATGGCAGGCCGATACGCCGCCGGCACGGTGTTTGCTTTGCGGCGCGGCCGTAAAGCGCCGTCACGCACCGGGGTCGTCCCTGGGCCGGGTCGCTGTGCCGCCGGCAGCTGGCGCTGGGAGCGTGGTCTTCGCTCTGGCGGAAGCGCTGAACTGTTATGTATGTGGGGAGGGCTCCTGGTCCGCGAGAGTTTCCGAGAGAGACGTAGCTACTTCCTCTCGGGAACGGCAGGGTGGCCCGGCCCTAGTGCCCGTTAGATACCCGGCTCGGGGCTGTGGGGCGGGCGGAGGCTGCAGCCCCAGCTACGGGCGACCTCCTTCCGCGAAGTCGCCCGCGGGGCGTTGATGGCCGGACGCCTCCTGGGGAAGACTTTCGCCACCTTGTCTCTGTCTGTGGCCTTGGCCTCTGTGCCTGTCAAGTCTTCGGGCTGTCTCAGCATCCCGGCGTGCAGGTATGCCCCTCCAAGGGCCGCTCCTTCTCCGGAGGTCCTGGGTCGCGTGCGGGAACCAGCTTCCGGCCCGGCGGCTTCCTGGGTTTGCTTGCGTCCCGGACATTTATAGCCATATTTCAAAAAGGCTCAAATGTTTTATCTGCGTTTTGAGGAAAACTAGTGGTGGTGACGTTTCTTGGTCGATGATACTGAAATTTGCCGTCCTCCGCAAGTCACCGTTATTGTCGCCAGCGAGTTTATATAGCACTTGTCTGGGTGTGGTGTTGTCCCGTGCCTTTTTTTCTGCTAAATACTTAAAACATTATTGTTAAAGTTAGTACGTGCACTTAGTTAAAAAATGTGAGCAGTATAAATGGTGTAAAATGAGAAATATAAGTCGTCATTCCTCCCCTCTACCACTGCTTCTCAGTGTAGACAGTATATTTATTATCTGCCTTTTTCTTGATTTGCCAACTCTGGATAAATTTACTGATTTATGGTGTCTCACACTGCCTCCTACTTTTATTCATCTCTTGTATGGTTTTTATTCTTTGGTTCAGTAAACACGATGTCCTAGATGCCGTGCTGGGCACAGAGTAATGAACTCACTTGATGAGCTGCCTCTAGGAGTGTTTTGTTTTGTTTTAATTTTTCTTGCTTGGCATGTCATGTTTACTTCTGGCACAAGGAAATTTTCTTCTATTCCCCCGCCCTATTTATTTCTTGTCCCCTCTTTTTTTTTCGGGAACCGCCCGTGATCGCTGTTGGAACTTCTGGGTGAAGTCTCTGTTTCTCTTTTTCTCTCATTTTCCATTGGTTTGTCTAAGATATTTTTCTTAAATTTGTCTTCCAGATTACTAATTCAGACCTTAGACCTGTGCATTGTTAGTCATCTTTTCTATTAAATTGTAAATTTTGACAAGAACTTTTTTCCCTAAATTGCTCTTTTTAATAGCAGCCTTTTCTAATTTTATGGATATAAAAAGTCTTTCGAATCTATAAAAATGATAATTAAAATAAACAGTTATGTTCTATTTCCTGAATTATCTGTCTGTTTTGGGTCAGTGATTCTTTGGTCCTTTTTCTTTCTGTTTTTTCTCAAACATCTGGTGGATGCCAGTTATCCATTGCTCTTTCGATTAATGTAGGTAATAGGCATTGTTTTCTCTAAATGGGAGGACTGATTGATTATTGGCTCCATGTACCAGGACACCTAGACTGGGAGATTTCAGTTGAGAATGTGTGATTAGGTAGCGGGTGGACAAGCTGGGAACCACCCTCTTCCGCCTTTGTCCCAGGGTTTACGCTAGTGGAGCAACTTCTCTGCTGAGCATAGCTGCCTTAACTTTTTTCCTCAGTGTGAATTGTAGAGGTATTAAGCCTGTTTCTGCTATGTTCTCTAACACCAGTATTCACAATAGAGGTCCTAGTCCTTCATTTTCTTTAACTTTTGGCTTTATTCCGGGGGCAAACAAAACTGGCAAACAATTGCCGACTTTTTGTTTGGAGGATGGGGAGGGAGGAGGACTGATTTCCATGGTTACTGCTCCACTGCCTACTTATTACATTTGGGCTCACTTATTTCAAGCTTGAAACCTCTCAGGCCTCCTCTTGTAAGAATGGCATCTCTCCCTCACCCTTTTGTGCATATTCTCAAATATAATTTGTTCTACTTTGGTTTGTAGGTCAATATGATTCCATATTTATTTATTTATTTTTATTTTTATTTTTTTTGTGAGGAAGATCAGCCCTGAGCTAACATCCACGCCAATCCTCGTTTTGCCGAGGAAGACTGGCCCTAGGCTAACGTGTGTGCCCATCTTCCTCCACTTTATATGGGATGCTGCCACAGCATGGCCTGACAAGTGGTGCATCTGCGCGCGCCCGGGATCTGAACCTGGGCCGCCCGCAGCGGAGCGTGTGCACTTAGCCCCTATGCCACAGGCCGGCCCCCTGATTCCATATTTTTTATCTTCCTGAAATTGGTTAAAATCTCTCATTTGCTGGTGGTATCCTATACTCTTTCCTGCTGTAGATTTTGTTGCGTTTTATACATCTTTATCTCTTTTCAGTGGGATTTGGGGAGGGAAGGAATAAACATCTATGCTCTCTGAAAGTCACTAATTCTATTTTTGATAGATGTCACTAGAACGATGTAAAATTGCTTGGCAGTTATTCTTCATTTTTATAATGCTGGGAACCCTAGGTGAAGTGGGGTGTATCTAAAACCAGTGACTGTTTACTGGCTTGGAAGAAAAAGCCAAAAGTTAAGCCAACAAGTATGTGTTGAGTATTGCAAGGCATCCTGGAGGAGACAAAAGAAATTTGTCGTCAAGTATTTTACTGTACTTTAATAATTTGGGCAAATCCAGAAAGTCACAGTTTTGCAGTTGGTTTTTGTAATTTGACTAGAAGGTTGCAAATGCCTATTTTCTGGAAAAGAAATGATAGTATATAAAGATGTAGTGAATGCTTCCAAGTTTTCCAACAGGATCTATCAGTGACGTGTGGAAAACAGTGTATAGTTTATTCCTGTGAATACATGTAAACATATATGTGAGCTAAAAATGAAATCGAGTTAGTATAGCTTAATCTTAAGAGCCTGGAATTCAGACTCAGCTTGCCTGGGATTGGATCCTGATTCTGCTATGAGTTGTGTGACTTTGGTAAACTTTTTGAGCCTCTCTGGGCCTTAGTGGTCTTATTTCTAAAATAAGAAAAATAATACCTAACCTTAGAGTTGTGAGGATCAAATGAGTTAATATATTATAGCACAATAACAGTGTTTTGCACCTAGCATGCACTATATACATTTGGCTGTTATTATGGCTATTAGTATTATTGCAAATTTGCTTTATTTCAAAGCACCGTATCAGTATTGCATTTCATCACGTTTGACTTGGTTTAGGAACCGGTTTTTATTAGCTACTGAATTCCCACTTGCTTGTTCAGATGTATTTCTTGCACCTAGTCAGTAATGCACTAAAAGAATCGAGGCTGTATTTGTGTATATTATATATATTCTTGTTCTGATTCCTTTCAGTGTATCACATTTAAACAGCAGATATAAATAGCAACATTAACAACATTCTGTTGCATTGGTCTATATGTCTGTCTTTATCCCTGTATTACACTGTTATGATTGCTGTAGCTTTGTAGTAAGTTTTGAAATCAGGAAGTATGAGACCTTCAACTTTGTTTTGCTTTTCCAAGATTGCTTTGGCTATTTGGAGTCCCTTGTTCCTGATCTTAGAGGAAAAGCTTTCAGTTTTTCACCATTACACCAAAAAACTGTGGGCTTTTCCTATGTGGCCTTTATTATGTTGAAGTAGTTTTATTCTTTTTTTTTTTTTTTTGAGATTTTATTTATTTATTTTTTCCCCCCAAAGCCCCAGTAGATAGTTGTATGCCATAGCTGCACATCCTTCTAGCTGCTGCATGTGGGACTCGGCCTCAGGATGGACAGAGAAGTGGTGCGCGCCCGGGATCCGAACCCGGGCCACCAGCATCGGAGCGCGCTCACTTAACCACCAAGCCACGGGGCCGGCCCTGAAGTAGTTTTATTCTATTCCTTGTTTGTTGAATGTTTTTATTATGAAAAGGTATTGAATTTTGACAAAGATTTTTTCTTCATCAATTGAGACGTTCATGTGGTTTTTTTCCTTCATTCTGTTAATGTGGTGTACTACATAGATTGATTTTTGTATGTTAAACCATCCTTGCATTCTGGGAATAAATCCCACTTGGTCATGGTGTACAGTCCTGTACCGCCTAACAATGTTTCAGTCAACGATAGACCGCATATACGATGGTGGTCTTGTAAGATATGGCCTAAGTATGTAGTTGGCTATACCATCTAGATTTGTGTAAGTTCTGTAGGGGAGGAAGAAATTTTCCTGTATCCTTCTAGTTTCTTTTGGCTGGCTATTAAATTGACATGAGACAGCTTAACAGGAGAAAAACAAACAAAAATTTAATAACATGTATACAGGGGAGAAACCCAGGAAAACCAAGTAACTCACCTAAATGGCTGAAGCCCTTACCTTAAGTAGCATCCTCAGTTAAAGACAAAAGAAGATGTTGAGGGTAGGGAGAATCAGGGACTTCAAAGGGAAAAAAGGCAATGCTCAGGTAAGTGAAAAGGAGCTAACGTTTGGAAAACAAGTGTTTGGTTTTACAGAAATAGAAGAACACGGAGGGGAGCCCAACAAACAGGCTTTTCTAGGTTCCTTCCTATCACCTAGTTCATGTTATGCTAAGGTGATAGCTAGCTTCCTGAGACAGTTTTTTTAATCTGAATTTTTTAGGAAAGGTAACAA